CAATGCTTTAACCATAGGAAGTGGCGCACTGTGACATGTGAAGTAATGGCCCTGGCTGAAAACTTGACTGCATGATAAGTTGTATCAGCTTAGAATTCAGCAGCAGCAATAAATTTAGCGCTATCTTGGCACGCTCTAAGGTTAGAATTAGGGACATGTTGCTGTAAAAGACGGAGCCATCTGAGAAATGACTGCGTGAAGAAGGAAGCGGCCATGGCTGCTCTGATGGCCCACGCACCAAACTGATGGGCTCTGCGTAGGGCTAGCTCGGCCCGTTTTTCCTCTGGCTTTAATGCCTCCAGAGCATCACTGGGAATGGAGGAGGATGCTAATCCCACTATAAGTTCATCTACCTTGGGAGTATTCAATAATTTTGAGAAATCAGGGGCCATATTGAAATATTTCCTGTCATATCCAGTGGGGGCTGTGTACACTGCTGCAGAGACCCACTGCTTCCGTACCAGGTCCAAAAACATGGGAGGAACTGGGATCACCTCTGCTTCAACTACTGGTTGGTTGAAGATCAGATCCTCTGGTCCCTCTTCCGAAGGAGTTGGTGTGGTGGAAGGGGTCGACTTGTTTAGGTGTACAATATTTTTTGCCTTAAACAAGAGAGATCTGAAAAGCTGTGGGCGGAATAAGCCTGTAAAAACAGGTTGGTCAGGAATAAGACCTTCATCCTTAGACATTCCCCTTTCTAAGGGGTCTGCTTCTGACAGGGGCTCGCTATCATATATTGATCCAGATTCAGTCTCTTCCATTTGATCAATTTGATCCAATTCTTCCTCCTCCTCCTCCGTTGGCCCTTGGAGGGGGGTCTCCCCCTGTAAATGTACCTGGGTATGGTGCTGCTCCGACCTGGTCAATGATCTCAGCGATTGGGAATCATGATCGGTGATCACAGGATATTCCCTGGTCATAACTGCATGTTGAAGCCCCGCTGCGATTCCCTGACAGATTGCCAGGTCCATCCAGACTTTCATCCTCTCTGGAACCTCCTCAATAAGACTATCACCTTGAAGAAGACCAGCAGCCGGCGGAGTGAATGTGGCTTCAGGAGCCCTTCATGTGGTCGGTATCCTGGGCACGGGCCTGTTGGCCTTGGGGAGCCAAGCTGCGCCTGGATGAGAGGGAGAGATCTAGGGGAGGAGGAGGGTGGGAAGAGAAATACGGACCTGGGCTGGAGGAGGGGAAGTCCTGTGAGACTTTGTGCGCCTCCCGAGTGTGCTTGTCTATCTGCCTTTGTAAAGCTTTGTGGTGCCTGACAGTGTCCCTTTCTGAGGCTTTAGAAGTCCCCTTAGCCTGCTTAGGTTTGTGTTGAGATTTGGCTTTTGCCTTCAAGTATGAGGTCTGAGAGGTGCTACTGTCTGCCATTTCGATTCAAATTGGAATTACAGTATGCTTGTTATATAATGCTGTGAAGGCGGTTGGCACGCCCAGGGACCTGATCTGAGTATAGACCGGTTGCCCTGATAATGGTTTTATTCCCCCCCCCCCATATATATATATATATAATGAGTCATATCTCAGTAATAATATTTTATTGAAATTAAAATATTATACTGAAGAGAAATTTATTATTATTATTATTATTATTATTATTATTATTATTGCTCTTATAAGCACTAATGTATGTGTGTATGTATGTATGTATGTGTATATGTATGTATGTATGTATGTATATATATATATATATATATATATATATATATATATATGATAAGTATAACAATGTTAATTAAGTGACAAAATATTATGCAAAGTAAAGCCAAAACAGCCAAATTGTGAATGCCTAAAGGCCCAGATTGATAAGTGTAGGGGCCTTCAACAGCTTCCCTCATAGGCAGACACAGGCCTGGGTGCTCGCTGTTGTGCTGCTGAGATAATTGGGCTGTGAGGGTTAAGCCAACAATTTAAAATGTAAGCAATAGCCTCAAATGAAACCAAACCAAGACAAGGGTATAATAGTTCCCAGAATATTGAAGGGAACCTGCTGCTCTGAGCAGAACAACCTCACACAGCTCGAGAATGAATAACTGGTGCGCGGCCATGAGGTTTTGACAGCCCAAAATGGCCTCCAGCCATTAAACTTTTGGCGCGCTCCTCAAGCGGCAACTTCCCGCCTTGTAAGTGAATAGCTGCTGATGGCTCTTTCTATTAAGCTAAGTGGCGGGAAAAGGTGGAAGTTATCAAGAGTTTGAATTCTCCACTTCAAATGGCGTTCGGAGAGGGGGAAGAGTGATACGACTCAGTTTGGAGTGAAACATCATGTCGCTGATCGATTAAAAGGCAACGCTGCGACGATCGTTCGAAATGGCAGGGGTAGAATATCGGCTGTGAGGAGGGGGCATGAGCAGCGCCGAAAAAACCCTCCTGCCGCTTTGGGGCACGAATTGGCGCTTCCCTAAGACAGACCTGTCTGGCTGCAATCTCTACAATGTGAGCCAATTTGAGAAATCGGAATGGAATAGATGGCTAAAGAAAAGCGTATTAACTGTCAATCCTGCTGCAATGAAAGAATTTTTCCTGTTTCAGCCAAGGAAGAATCACAAGCACTGCCTATCTCCCACGAGGCTGAGCAAAAACTGGGGAACGCTGGGGAGGAGTCCCGTGGAGGAGGAGGAGCATTCCACAAATTAAGCCCAGCCTACACATGCAGAGACTGAAGCACCTCCCACTACTGGATGCTCTGAACAGCTCATGGGAGAAAAACAGAGAAGCAGAAAATATAGATTGATGAGTTGAGTATGATGAAATCTAGATATTCACAATAACTGCAGTGTGTTTCTGTTTGAAAATTATTAATTAAAGAAGAAATTAATAAAAAAATAAAAAGTAAAAATAAGGCCCGGCCTTATTTTGTGAGAAACACAGTATTACCAAATATTTTCCTACCATTCCAATTCTGAGAATTCCCTCAATCACTTAGTATTAAAATTCAGACAATGAAATCAAAATATTAATTGTTTTGTGTATAGGTGTTTCTGGCATTTGAATAGTTCAAGATTCGTAACAGTAAAGAGATGTACAGTCACCATGATATTATTTTGTCACATCAGAAAACTGTAGCTGTAGAAAACATGGATTAAATCCAAATTTTATCATATCCATAAAATAATATGTGACATTATGTGTGCATTTGCAATATACTGAATCTATTTCTTTTGGGTGGAATTTCATTGAAAATAAAATCATAACTGGTATCTCACTCACAAAAAAACTCATAACAGAAGTTAGAATATATTTATTTTTATATATGATCTTAGTCATATGCTAGTGGAAAAGGTGTTTCAGCTAAATGAAAGAAACAGATCATTCTGTGATTTTTTTTTTTAAACAGGAAAAGAAATAAAGAGACATTGATACAACATATGTTTGTATGAATTTGTGCATGTAGATATCTATCTTCTTACAAATTGATCAGTATACTAACAAGAAGCAACTAGTTAACGTCTAATGTTTTGCAAGTTTTAACAGGGCTGTTTAATATTTTTGAGAAAGCTTAAAAGCAGACATAAATTCACTCAAATGCCAGTGAGTAAATCATGCTGACCTTCAGAGACTACCAAGTACACTTGTTCATAGTGTTTAAAATCTGGAAATATAATTCAATTGTAGCAAGAGATGCATTTTTCTAAGTAGTAGTATATCTTACATTTTATCTTCCTTCCCTTTGCTCAAAATACAAATACAACTATATCTGTTAACACATTTACAAATAAAAGAAAAAGTATTCCAGCATAGTTATTTTTTAGTGCACATTATTGGAATGAATTTTAAAGAGTGATTATAAGGAAGCTTTCTACTGGGAGGAAATATAGATGTCACTGAGTTACAATAAAACTTAGTGTAGCCATCTTGAATTGATATTACAAATTGTGTTTCACTTATGATCACAATTGGAAATAGAACATATGTTGTTAAGTGGTGGGATTATTAAGTGCAACCACCTGATTTTACACCTTTTTCTGTTGTGGTAGTTAAGTAAATCAACATGGCCATTAAGGAAGACATCACATTATTGCCATTTCTAACTTTCCTGTTGGTTTCCTAATAGATATTGATAGTCAAAAGTTGTCTGGGAGGTCTCAATAAGCAATAATTTGGCCCTGGGACACTACAACCATCATAAATACATGCTGATTGCCAAGTGTCCAAACTGCAATCACATGATTGCTGGGAGACTTTGACTGTCATAAATGTGAGGACTAGTTTTAAGTCATTTTTTTAAGTGCCATTGTAACTTCAAATGATTGGTAAGTGAATGGTCATAAGTCAAGATAACCTTTATTACACCACATAGCTTGTGAGTTCTGCACCATAAGAAACAGCCACAAAAAGAGAATATTCTCAACAATATGAATTGGTTTCATTAATCAATTTTCTGCACTTTAGAAAGAAAAAGTCACAAGGAAGCTATATTACCCTTTCACAATTCCTTAAAATGTTTTGCTATCAACTTCTTGAGCCATTGTAGCTTGGAATTATGGAAGTGAAGTAGAAAATTAGAGGGAAAGAAGTTGAGCAAAACTGGGTTCCAACAACAAGATTATCTAGTTGACTTTGCAAAACATAGACCAAGTCTTTATTCCTTAGAATACAAGAGCAATGATGTGGTACAGTCATAAAAAGGTATAGTCATAATTTTGAATCTTAGACTACGAAATGTTCCAACATGGCAAAGCATTATCTTTACCACACCACATTAACTGGGGTTAAAAAGAGTCCCCACACCTAATCAATACAAAAAATAAATAAAGTTAAAATACATATGGGTTCAATGGTTTAAGATTGTATATAGGCAGATACTTGAAAAAAAGTCTCATTGAGGCCAGTGAGGCTCATAGCTGAATGAATAGCCAAAGGCCTTTTTTTTAGTATCAGAAAAAAAAACAGTTATGTTAAGTATAAAAGAAATCAGGAACTAATGATATTTAATGAGAGAAAGAGGGAAAAGTTGCTAGGGAAAAAGGAATAAGAGGGGAAAAACAATCACTTACCTAGAACCCCTAGCCTGTAGTTGATGGTTACAACAATGACATTTCCGTAGCTTGCCAGTATGCTGCCATCAACTATATTCCCTGTACCTTCCATATATGATCCACCATGAATATAGACCATCACTGGTTTCTTGCTGTTCTGATCATGTATATCTGAAAAGAATACAAGTAAGGAAAACACAAGAAAGTAATACAAGTATTAAATTAAAAAATCATAGTTTTTTTTTCACCCCCAAAGAGCTAATTAGTTATTTTGCATATTTTCTCATTTCAACTGTATTTCTTATATGATCACTTCTACTTCTCTTCATTTATAACCAATAACATAAACCAATATGATTTCTAGAATAACTTTGAAAAAAATATCTAAAATATCATTTATATAGAATATAGTTGATTCTAGGAATGAAAAGGTAATAGAATATTCACAATACTCAAATATGTAAAATATATATTGCAAACAACATAAAAATAGATTTAAAATTGCTGTTAGAAAATCCACAGTGCAATATTCATGTCCAATATTAAATTAGCTCATTAAACATATTTTCTGCAATTTATGAAATAAAGAATGTTTGAACACAACAAACTGACATTCTTATTACCTCTCTCACCATAAACTAATATTCAAAGTACAAAAAATAGAGGCAGAATAATGTTTTTTGACAGATACTTTATTCCTTCTTTCAAAGCACACTGTTTGTCCATGTAAAATAAGCTACTAAGACACAGAAAAGTGCAGCAGTAGATACTTTGTGTAATAAATATGTTTTGCCATTGCCTTTTTTAGAATGTTCTTTTCAACTTCTAACTTTACTTTACTGGTAATCCTACATCCAACAACTAATCATATCCAACCCCTGCTTAGCTTTTCCATTTCTACTACCATTGACAATTAATATAGTGTTAAGTTTCAGGTAGTCAGCAAAATGACTTGTGCCAATTAATCAATGCCAATTTAAACAGCACTTATTCCCTGAATTGCCTTTACAGAACAATTTGTCTTACATATTCTTGACCATTATTTTCACCCAATGTACCAGGCGTACTAGTTCAAGTGAGCCCTGGTATCATTCAAAGGGTACTGCCATTGGTTTGAATGCCTATTTTATGCTATATAGAGTAGCATAATAAATCAAGATCAAGACACATTTCACAGTCTATTCCAAATAACCATACAACAGATTACTAAGCATTGCAAAAACTGGCTTTGCTGGTTTGATATTTCTTTGAAGACTTATTTGCTTTTACAATTAATGAACTTATTAACTAGAAGTAAATTTGGATCACAATCAAAAGGAACAAAGATGTATTTGTCTGGACAATGTTATCAGTTAATAGTTCAGATCTGTTTACTTAGCTATAGATTGAAATAAGAAAGAATATTTTTTTAGAAATATCACATGTTGTAATATGTTGTTATTGTATTCATGCAAGAATTTTCAGTGGGAAGTGAAGTAATCTTATAACTATAATTGTTCCTGGGATTCCATAATCCTATATTTGAATATGGGATAAACACCTAGTTTCATTATTTGGAAATAGTTGAAGACTGCAAGGAAAATAAGATAACAGTTGCATTACCCAAGAAGCAGATATTTCAGCAGCTACATTTCTAAAAAAAAAAAAATACTCTGTATCATCAGAAGCAGGATATTAAAAAGCGATCCCACCATACTATACATATTTCTGAACGGAATTGAATAGAAAGACAAATTGATAAATAGGTGTAGAATGTTTCAGATATGAAAATTAAGGAAAATCAGGTGATAATCCTAAAACAAGACCATAACAAGAGAAGCTGTCTAAAGTAAACAATTCCTAAAATTTCATATTTATGGCACAAGTTTCAATCCTGATTTCACATGGATCCTATACAGGCTTCATATCCCAACATATCACCCCATGGAAAGGTAACCGTAGATAGAAAACATTTCATGATAAAAGTTTGCTATTTAGTGCAAACTTTTATCCTGAAATGTAATGTTGGCTATGTATGTCTGTAAAACCATCACAATATATCAAAGACATATATTTTAAAAAGGTTCTGGCTGAATTTGAAAAACTATGCAGGTAAAAATAAAATAAAACTACCCTCCTATAATGTATACAACTTTCTGACTTATTTTAGTTAGAGAGAGAAAGGCATTTTTGCATAGTACAATATAGTCCTCTGCAAGAATTAACTAAATCCATAGGAAAGTTCCAATTCCCTTGCATTTGATCATTATCAAGTAATTTAAAGAATATCCCTAAAAATAAATATATATACCTACCAGTTTGTCATGGCTGATACTGCCTGAGCAGCTATACTCATAACATCCCACAGATTCTATTAAAACATTTACAGAAATAGGTTTCCTTGCAATTTTACAATAACATGCAAGTGATAGAATTCCAAACAGGACAGGTATAATTTGTTGACTATTGTATAAACTCACAAAATAGCTTTTCAAGAGAAATGCGGGAATAAATGGTGGAGGCAATTTTGTCTCAATTACATGCAAAAGAAGGAAGCTTCAAAAAAAAACAAAAACAAAGTAAGTTAGAAAGCATCACTGAATTTCCTTGACTTGTTACATATTGAAGATAAAAAAAAGAAAAAAAGAAACCCAAGGGAAGTGTAATTGCATCCAGTATAAGGGAAAGAGAAGAAAAATAATGTGAAGGTAAATTTATAAGCTACCAAAAGAGAAAAGAAAAAGAAACTATACAGAACATGCAAGGTTTCAGTTCCATTTCTTTTCTTCCCAATTAAAAGTTGGGAATTGGAATAAGCATTTGATTGTAAATAACGTTTATGTCACTCCACAGATATTACAGATAATTTGAACTCTTATCTCAAATAGGAATTGCAGTAATCTAAATGCTAATTTGTATTTTAGAAAAAAAAGGAAGGTGGATTTTAGATAAGACAAAAATAAAACACCACACCAAAATGTGGGTGATTAAATAAAGAAGGGGAAAAATTTATATTCATGCATATCAGGACTGAGTTTTTTTGGGGGGAAAAACAACAACAAAAATACCTTCATCTTCCCCACGATCAGTACTGGTTATATCATCTGTGCTTTTCTTTGTGTTGGCTCCTAGGTTCAGAGGGAGCAGGAGAATAAAGGGAAAAAAGATAATTTGAAAAAAGCAAATTCCCCAAAATTTAAAGAAAACGAGCAGGAAATTGCAAAAGAAAAAAAAAGTAATACACACAAAAAAGTCAACATTTGTACTGGAAAAATAAAGGTTGCAAATTCCACAGAAACATAAATCTAAAAATATTCCAACAATTTAAAAAAATGCTAGTGGGGAAAAATTGTTATCTTGTGTTAATGCAGTTAGTTTGACTAAATTTGAAAAGATGAAATTGGTATGTATTTATTATTTCTTTACATTGAGAGTTCAATTTTCAGTACACGATAGATCAAATGGACTTTTATGAAAATTGTTTAAGAAATGGACATGTGATGAAAACATTTGTGAAATTCAATATAAGATATTCAAGATATTTTTTAACCCTAACCATACTGAATCTGGATCCCAAGAAATACAAGAAGTTGCCATTAATATTTCATGGCAAAACTACTGTATTTGAAAATAAGAAAAAAAATCATGGACATAATTTATCATCTATTGTTTGGGTTTGCTGTTCAAAGGGGAAAAGTCAAAAGTTCTACAATTAGAATTGAATACTGTTCTACAACAAAATCCAAAATCTTCAGACTGTTATCATTTTTCTTCTTCTGTTTCAGTCATGTCTGCTTCTCAGAGATTGCATGGGCAAATCCCTATAGTTTTCTTGGCAGGACTTTTTTCAGAAGAGGCTTACCATTGTCTTCTTCCTAGGACTGAGAGAAAGTAACTGGCCCAAGGTCATCCAGCTGGCTTTGTGGCCAACATGAGATTAGGACTCAGATTCTTAGATCTTAGCCTGACTATACCAAAGTGGCTTTTGTTACCATAATGATTGCTAATAAATCAATATGAACATATAGTCAATTAGCATTGTTTGACAATCTGTAAGATAAAATCTATTTTACAGATCTGATTTCAGACAAAAGCACATCTGAATATGAATGAATAGGGTTCACCTGATTAATTCTTTGCATTTTGAAAAGATTTGAATTAACCATGACAACCAAAACACAATTAATCACATGCATCCAATCCCCTAAAGACAGAACCTTATATAAGATGGAGAATTTTATATAATTCTATTGCATTGAAACATTTCAAATAGAAACTACGACCTTTAATGGACAATTATGACAATTTCTTCCAATCTAATGTTTTATATCATTTTTAAAGCTTTCAGTCAAAAGCAGCTAGTCTTACTCTCTCTTCTTACAGAGGAATTTCTGTGTGTACATTTAAAACTTTAATCTTGAACCAAACAGACCTTCCTGTAGCAAAAAGCATGAAATCCATCTGCCTTAGATAGCCTTTTAATAGTATTTCATTTCTATATTATCAAAGAGATCAGATGAAAGGACTGGTTTAGTGCCACACATTAACATACAACAATGCCAACATTAAAAAACCTGAAAAGGAAAATGAATGTGGAACATACAAACAGGTATATGATTTAATGGGGGTGCAATGGTTAGAATGTAGAATTGCAGGTAAACTCTGCCCAAAGCCTGGAATTCGATCCTGATGGAGCTCAAAGTTGACTCAGCCTTCCATTTCATCCTTCCAAGATTGGTAAAGTAAGGATCCAGATTGTTAGGGAAAATATGGGACTTTGTACACCATTCAGAGAATGCTGTAAAGCACTATGGGTGGTAGATAAGTCTAAGTGCTACAGTTATGAATATGAAATGATTTTGCCATGTAATATATAGGCATTGTAGAATATTTTTGATGCATAAGTTGGCAACAATATTCAACACCTAAGAACTTTCCTAATATTTTATACTGAAATTTAAAAAAAATCCAATAAATAAAAACCAAAACCAATTTGTTCAGATATACGTAGCATTGTTCAATCATAATTTTATTTTTGCCATTCATAAAGATATTTTGAGTTTACCTCTGATCAGAAATTTTTTTTCATGCTGAGAAAGTTTAAGTCTTTGGATCACTGTGAAAATACATATTTAATATGTGCATAGCAAAAGGCAAGTAAAACATTCACTTTTAAAATAAATCCAAATAACATACATAGGATAATGCAATATGGGACTGAAACATATTTTTTAAAAGCATGGGGATTGCAATTTCAGTTTGAGGATTTTCAGGTGCAATCCAGATCAGCTCTGATTACCGGCAATCACACAGAGCCCCTTCAGATCTGCTCAGAGGAAGCTGGCAGTAAGAATAGTGAAATATACAGCATATACTCATTGTCTTCTGTAGCATTACTGAGAAACATTTCCCCCAGTAAATAGCAGTGTGCAAACATACATTCATTCAGAAATACTTGCTTATAAAGAACTTTCACTTCATTAACATGGCTGGAATAGTCTGGATATACAGACAACAGTGATATTTAATATGTATGTCATTGAATACTCCTGGTTTACCTTTTTTTCTGTTTTAATTGTTGGAAAGCCACCCATGGGTATGATGCTATACAATGGGCAGCTAATATTAGTCAAACAAACTAATCAATAAGCAAGCAAGCTAATAAAATGACCTTCAGGAAATTTGTGGACTTCTAGGAGATTACAGTTGTTGTGCTTTTTCTTAAGTGAAGATTGTCTGTGACGGATTATCCTTCTTTTATTGAGTGAGATAAGGCACTCCAGTTTCAGCACTGTTTTGTATGTATGCTTTATCATAGAGTGAAACTGATAAAGCTAAATAAGCAGCTTAGAACTGGGGTTGAAAAAAACCTATAGTGACAAGAGAAACAAACCAGAAACTGCAGGGGGAAAAAAGTCAACTGACTCCTTTGTTCTAAAGATGCCAATTGCTTTTTATAAATAGAAGGATATGGGATATCAGGATCAAAGCTAAAGTTGAGAAGTAATTGCATCCCACATCAAGAAAGCTTAGTCCAGGTAACTAGTATGACCCAAACTGAAGTCATGGTGCTTTCTAATCAACCATCTTAGTGTGATGTAGAGCTATTGTTTTTGTGTGGTATGTACCCATTGTTGCACTGGGAGCCAACACTTCAAAATTTAACATTACAGGGTCAACTTATTTTTACATTGATTTATCATTTATTTGCTGCTTTTCTTTAAATAATCTGTCATAAAAAGAGATACATTTTAAATCACCTTGTTGTTGATAAAATTATACTGTGAATTTCTGTAGAAAATACAATAATATTCAAATAAATAAATAGACCATGATGGGCTTCTTAAGAAGTTTCTGTGTGCCACAGAATATGTGTGACAAACATGCTATTACAGCATTTTTAATTGTGTTTTAATAGTCCGATAATGCTTATTTATCTTTTGTTGTATATACAATTTATTGCTCAAGAATCAGATTGCATAGCCTTTTATTAGTACTGTTTAGTAATCAATGCATTGTGCAGTTATTCAGTATAACTAATATTGGATTTTTAATTTTTACTACTTCTCTCATTTCATTTTTATTCCCAAAGTAACCTTTGACAGTGAGATCATTACTGTTAATTTATTTGCATTCTATTTATGTGGATGTAATAATTATTCTTATTGTGGTTATATTGTTATTGTTTGGTTAGACCTCACTGTTCACATATTTAAATTTCTAATTTGTTTTCACATTCTCATAAACATACCATTTTACAGAAAGAAAATACAATATGATTTCTCTATTGTTTATCACATGTCTTTGTCATCCCCTTTCTAATGTCTCTGTATTTTTAAAAAATACATGCTTAAGAAGTGTGTGTACATTTCTATACTGCTTATTGTTCAGAATACATGATAAATTTAATATAATATTAATATAATTATTTTGCAATCCTATTCTTAGTTAATAGAAATAAGCATGTGAAATCCAATGTAAGTAGGATTATGTTATTGTGTGTGTGTGTGTTTGTGTATGAACAATGGTGCCTTGGTACTCAATGTTAATTGGTTCCAGGAAGCATGATGAGTACTAAAAAAGGTGAGTACCAAACAAACCACATGACTTAACATGTGACTCTTTTCAGCCAGGAAGGACTTCCTATCTGTCCCTTTTCTATGTCAACAATCTTCCCAGCATGGCCAACCTACTGTCCACCCTCTGAAGCTATTCCCACTTCTTTTTACAGTGGCTTTTCTGGCTTGGCTAACTTCCTGTCTGCTATCAAGGCCGTTCCCCTCTACCTATTATAATGTGTTGAGTAGCAAACAAATGACAAGTGCCGGGACTTTTTCACATCAAAATATTTTGAGTAACAAATTGAATGAGTTTTACCAAATTGAATGAGTTTTGAAGCACTTGAGTACTGACGTAGAAAGTGTGTGTGTGTGTGTGTGTGTGAGAGAGAGAGAGAGAGACAGAGAGAGAGACAGAGACAGAGAGAGACAGAGAGAGAGACAGAGACACACACACAGAGAGAGACAGAGATAGAGAGTAATGTACATACAGCACTGTGCAAAAGTGTTACAGAGTTGTGAAAAAATGCTGTAAATTAATGTTTTCAGAAATTGAAGTGTTAATGGTTTATTAAGTAAATGAACAGAAGAGAAATCTAAATCAAATCAATATTTGGACTGACTACCCCTTGCCTTCAAAACAGCATCAATTCTTACACTTGCACACTTGCACAAAGTCAAAGTCATTTTGTAGTATTAGAGTCAGATGTATGATTAAACAATTATACCAAGAAGGTGCTAATGCACATCAATTTTATATGTAAGTGGAACACAGTCATTAACTAAAACAGCTGTGTAAGAGACTTAAAACTGGATGAGAAAGCCAAACTCTGCTACTAAGGTGAAGTTATAGAAGACAGTTTCATGTTACAAGTCATACACTGAGCACAGGGAAAGACAAAAGGTGGCTATACTGCATTAGAAAGTTTTCTCCCAGGCAAAGATTTCAAAGCAGACTGGGTTTGCAAGATGTGCTGTTCAAGCTCTTTTGAAGAAGCACAAAGAAATAAGCAATGTTGAGGACCATAGAAACAGTGATTGGCCAAAGAAACTTAATACAGCAGATGAAA